ACCATATTGACGTGACCTGATATAGAGGTTAGTGACAAAACCATTAATGGACGAATTTGACCACTTGCGCTTATGAAAACCATATTGACGTGACCAATGATATAGAGGCCAAAAATCTGATGGTAATAATATGCCATAATTAATATATATAATATTATGTATTTTAATAAAATTAAAAAAAAATAAATTATTAATTTGTATAAAATTTATCATTTTAAATTTTAAATTATATAATTTATGTTACATTATTAATTTTAAAATTTAATATTAAATCTTAATTTTATTTATTGTTATTCTATTAAAACATTCATGCTCATCGGAAGCATACCTTTACATCATGTTTGGATAAAAATTAATAAAAGAGAGTGAAGGAAGAGGAGGAGAATTAGAGAGAGGGAAAGGGAAGGAGAGTAAAAGATTAGTGCTATTTTGTTTGGATAGATTAAAAAAGAGGAAGGAAAGGAAGGGGGAGATTATGTTTTTTTATTTAATTAAATAAATTAAAGAAAAATAATTATAAAATTAATTAAAATTTTATAACTTTACATATTAAGATTAAAGTTAAAATATAAAGTTTAATTACATTTTTGAAAAAAATAAGTAAAAAACTAAAATGAAAATAAATCTAATCCTTCCAAATTCTCCCAAATTGGAAGAATTAAAAATAAGGAGTTTGGAGGGAGTCCGCTGCCGTCCATCTACCTCCCTCTCATTCCCCTCCGTTAATGAAGTTATTCAAACAATATAAAGGAGAGACATCTCCTTCACTCTCCTCCCCTCCTCCCTTGCGTAATTAAATTGGTATTATTTGATTTTATTTCATCTTTTGAGTCCTAAACAAATCTAAGAAGAATTTTCTAACTTATTCTTTGGGGTGCGGCTTACTAAGTACTAAATTGAGTAACAGAGTATTAAATCGAGTAACAAAGTGTAATTAATGTAGTATCTTATGAGTCTCCTAGTTTTTACTATTAAGACTAAAAGCCATCATTTAATTCTATTATTAGAATAAACTCTTTTTTTTTTTTTTTGACCCTCCGTCTCCCCGTTTGCCTTCTTCTCTCCTATTGCTATTCCCCACTGAAGTTTAAAATTAATTAATGTTCTAAATTGTATACAGATTTTTCCAACATGTATCTCATATTTTTATCATAAATTTATATAAAAATATAAAATTTAACATTAATTTTAATATCAATGTTAAATAGATCAATTTAATTAGATAATTACTAAAACTTTTGATTCATCTAAAAAAAATTGGATAATTAATAAATTAAAGATGAATTTTTATTTTTTAATAAAAATTGAAAATTTCTAATATGTAACCTTAAGACACAAATTAAACATTATTAATTATAGTATTTATAATTAATTTTGTATAAAATTT